TGCAGTCCTTGTGGGCGCAGTGGCATCCATTTGCCTTCCCTGGCTTTGTGTGGACCTCAATGAAGTGTCCGTTGACACTATTTAATTTTCAGTGCTCATGATCACATCGCTGAGAAAGAATGAGCCCAGGATCTCCTTCCTCACAGCAGGGATCCAATTCCTTTGCTGGAGCCTCCGAGGGCCGTTGCAGAGCGGGAGAGCCGCTGGCTTTCTCGCACCAGACGCGGCTTCACGGGCCTGCCCCAGTCGCCCCACCACGCACTGGCTCGTCCCCTTGTCGCACACACCTGTGGGCGCAGGACCTCGTTCTCCCAGAGCACTTCTGACTGGCTCTCTCCTCCTTGGCGTAGCTGCTGGGGAAAATAAAGACAGTGGCTGCAGAAAAGGCCTGTGACGCTGCGCCAGAGGAGACCTGCGCCAGAGGAGATGGCCTTCTCCACGTCCGTCCAGAGGAGCTGGAGAAACGCCCGGTGCTCCGGGCCCAGTCTGCTCCGACACCCCAGCGCTGCCGTCTGGCTCTGCCTTCCCTCCCGCCAGCCCTCCGCGTGAGTGCTTCGGAATCCTGGGTCCGGCCACACACAGGGAGCCCAGGGGCACGCAGAGGTGGAGAGAGACTCCCTGGTCACCTCCCTAGAGGTCTGCGCCTCGAATTGCAGGAGCGGTGAGGTTTCATACCGGTTGTGTGCAGAAGCTTGGCATATGTGATAGGCTTTACTGTTGGGAAGGGGGGTGCGGGCGGCCTGGCTCCCGCTGGGGAGGGGGCCGGGCGGCCTGGCTCCTGTGGCCAGCATCACCACAGCGCTCTCGGCTCCAGGGAGCAGACTCCAAGCAGCAGACTGAGCAGCTTCCAGCTTCCCTGCTGCATCCTGGGGATGACCTCGAGCCACTGGGTGACTTCTAGGCAATAGGATGTGATCCCCTGGCCTGTGTGGGCCTCAGCATGGCGGGTTCCCAGAGCATGGGGCGCTGGACACCCCCGTCAGACATGAGGATAAAGCAGGACAAACCTGCCCAGTCTCCATCCTGACGTTCACACGGGTCTTGACAACCCCAGGTGAGGTTTACTGATGCTCTGGGCAGAACCTTGACTGTCAAGGAACCCTCGGGGCAGCTTTGTCAGGGCCTGGCTCGGCTCCAGGGCTGGAGGTGGGGGGCAGGCCCCCCGCTCCTGGCTGGGACTCAGGCTTCCACTCCCATTCGGGTCAGACGCCACCTTGTTTGCTTCCTTCAGAGAGAGGCGTCTTGCTCGTTCACACAGAATTCCCTCCTGTGTGGTTGAGATTTTCACTTCGCCTTTCTCTGGTTTTGATGTGTTTGAGGACAAGGTGAATTTCAGGTTACATTGTGAGGCTGAGCTGGAATGATGACATTTCTCCCCAGATTTAAACTGAGTCCATCAGCCCTTTGGGACAGGCAACCGGTCATCGGAGCACCTGCCCACCCCGCCCCGTGGGCAGGGTCCTCCCAGCCCCCCACGCCATCCCCATGTCCCCCCACCATGTCGCAGCCCCCCCCCCCCGTGCACATGGCTCTAAGGCACGGGGCACCATCTGCGTCTCCCCGGGGAGGGCTTTGAGGGAACCCCACATTCAGGCAGCATCAGCACGTGGGTGCCCCGTGTTGGCCCTCTGTCCCCCCGGAGTCCCGGCTGCCCCTGCCCCTTGACACGAACGCTCTGGGCTCTTCTTTTTCGTCCCGTGTAGTCTCTGATGACTATTTGGGATGACGGACACCAGGAAGAGCTTACACACCCCTTGACTAATCCCAAGCGGGTAGAAATGTGAGACTCACCTTTCCTGTCCCCCAGGGTTCAATTTTAGAAACTTCAGGTTCTGTCTTGTCAGTCGGCACAAAGAAAAGCCTGTCAAGCATTTATGACCAGACGCGGGTTGAGCCGTGTCTCCTGTTACTTGTTCTTCCTCCCGTGCCGACTTCGCACCTTGCAAAGACAATTTCCTCCTGCTGTGCAGAGCGAAGGTGGTGCCTCGTGGCCTGGTCCATGCTTTCCTACCCCTCCGTGAACCCCACTTTCTCTGCCTCCTGCCAACACACACTGCTCAGAGGGCTCTTCCCAGCTGGGGTGACCTGTCACCCCAGATGTCACGTCTCTGCAGATTGATCTAGAGACCCATCCCATGCTGATTGAAATTCCAGAACTGGAAACATGGATACTAAAATGTACACAGAACAAGGACCAACAGCCACCAGGGCCATTTTGAGGAAGGTGGGTGGGGGTCCTGCCGGCCTTGGCAGCGAGACCAGGCACGCTTCGTGCCCGAGACAAGCACCTCTCCCTCCTGATGGCGCTGATTTACCTCAGTCCGCCAGAAATTCTGCAATCCTGGTTTTGATTTCTACTTCGACATGCGTCATTTTAAAAGTAACTTATAAATATACAGATTATCAATTAAATGTTGTAACTGTATACACTGGTCTCTGTTTCCTTTTCTTTGTCATTGCCATACGGCGAGGCGATCACCTGGCGATCACCTGACCTTGTCATCTTCTAAAACTTTCTCTGAGGCATAAACTATGTCTGTTATGGCAACTGTCCCAAGAACAGCACCTTCTCTGTTTTTCTTTGGCAGAGCTTGAAATTTGTGGTTTCCAACTGCCAAAGTCCTAATCTTCCTAGGAACTTCTCAATGCCAGGGAGTGCACTGAGCACCCAGAAGCTAGAAACTAGTCACTTCAGATGCTCCCTGCTTTGGTGACAGGGTGGGAAGGGGAGAGTCTGAAGGGTCGGTGGGAACGCCAGCCCCACCGTCATAAACCACGTCCCCTCAGCCACGTCCCCTCACGTCCCCTGTGAGTTTATCGTCCCTGACAGTTTGATCAGCAGTCGCCACCAGCTGGCAGGCAAACCCCCTCTGGGGGGTGTGGCGACGTTCACTCATCCGGGGTACGGAGACCCGGCCCAGGCCGCAGAGATGGCGCCTCATTTCCTTCCTTCCCCTGGGGTGGACCCAGTCCCAGATTTCTCCCTCCTGACACCATGGGCGTTCTGGGCTGTCTGGGCAGCCGCCTGTGCCGAGGGGGCGTGTGGTCGTGTCCTTCAGTGTGCTTGTGCTTCCAGTGCGGACAATAAGAATGTCCCCACACATCGCCTACTCTAGTCTGACCTGGCGGACAAAAACGCCCCAGGTGAGAACCACTGATCTACGTGGTTGTCTACGGTGTGAGGAAAGGATCCAGCACGTTCTCTCAATATGGCGAATCAGTATAAAGACCACTGTAGTTGAGAGCAATTCATTCAGGAGAACCTCACTTGAGCTTCTTGAATTCTGAGCATTTCCTGCCAGTGACTGGTCACAAGCTCCTCTCCGGTGACGCCACGGACCCGCAGCCGGGGCCACGGGAGCAAGCGCTGCCTGCACGCACCCACAGCCGCTCCCGGCGGCCCTCGGTGCGAGTGGCGCTCCGTAAGTGTGCGTGAGCGACTCCTCACGAAACAGGCCTCGGTGGAGGATCTGGCCGCCGTCGGCTTTCTAAGTGCGCTGAAAGCTGCCAGGCCAAGCTGCCACGCGTGGGAGGTTTGGTGTGTTCCACGCGCTTTGGCTCCCGGTATTTTCAGCTACTAACAGGTCTAGCAGGACACGGTCCCGCTGTAAGCTCGGGAAGCTCCGCGGGCGAGCAGCTCTTCTTTTCACTCTCAGGGTGCTGCAGCCGGGACACACCACGCCCCTGCGCGTGCACAGATCCTTCGGTGTGGCCAACACGGCCCACAGCCCCCTGAACCCAAACGGGGCAGGAGAGTGCTCTCCCTCTCCGCTCTCCCCGTCTGTCACTCTTAATTGCCAAGTGTCTACTCTTTGCCTGAACCTTCTTTTTAAGTCCCCCTTTCCTGTCTTTTATGTCTCCGGCAATGCGGCGCCTCCAAACACCATGGGGAGGTTAAGTGAACACAGAGCCCGCCTCTGCCCAGCGCCCAGCCTGCTTCCACTTCTTGCGGTGGATGCCCCCAGGCGCCTCTGGGGGGCCCTGCACACGTGGGAATGGCTGGAAGGCCAGCACTAGGGTCTGAAGGTCAAGCAGCTGACCCTCCTGCAGGTAGGCTGTGGCCGCCGGGCCCACTGACGTGGCCCACGGGCAGGCCTGGCCTCCTGAGTTGCGATGCGTCGGAAGCCAGCGTGTAACGTGGCCAGAAAGCCAAGCTGGGTCTGTGGACAGCCTCCCGCAGCTGAGGCTGGTGGGCTAGAGCTGGCCGAGGACTGCCCAGCCTGGGCCAGCTGGCAGCAGGGTTTCCATGGTGGCTGGCCTCCCGCAGCCAGGCCAGGGACTGGACACGCCCAGCTGACATGCACGCTTGCAAACTCAAGCCACCCAGGCCCCCTGCACTGTTTCACCAAACGGACTGCTTTCCACCAGGGATGGCCTCGAGAGGGGCCTGGGCACGGACGTCCCTCACGGCCACTGCCCAGGCCCCCAGGGAACATCAGCTCTCAGGGAGATGCCCCTTCCTGAGGGGTTCCCCTTCTGGGGTGGTGGCAGAACTCTGGTGTTGGCAAGGCTCCCAGAGAAGTGCCTGCTCCCCAGAGCTCCATTGCTGGGGCTCCCATGCTTTTTCCCTCAGGCTGTCCCTGCAAGGCCTGACCTGCTCGCACCCCAGTGTCCCTGGTCCACCCGGACCCCTCACCACCATGGAAACCCTGCTGCCAGCTGGCCCGGGCTGGGCGGTCCTCGGCCGGCTCCAGCCCACCAACCTCAGCCGTCGGGTGTGAGGCGGAAGCGTTTCGCAAGGCAGTCCCTGCGGGACAGCCGCAGCACGGCAGTGACCGACCCTCGCGCTCCGAGCCCGCACGAGCCCCTTCAGTGCTGCGCACACCACCCCGGCAGGAGCGCGTCTCCTCGCGTCCTGTCTCCCAAGTGCAGGAAACACAGACCAGGTGAGGGCTCCGGAGAGACACCCCGGCTGCAGTCCAGGATCCCAGGGCCTCTCAGCTGCCCACTCTCTCCCTGATCCCGAGGGTCTCAGAGCCCCTCCCCAGGAAACTCACTGCTCACGGTCTTGGAACATTTATTGGTCCTGGGAAAAGGAAGGCGGCGTCCCCCGGCCCGTGGCCCGCCGGGCAGCAGCCTCACTGCTTCCCATTGCCGTTGATGGGGCGGTTCACGTGCTCGGGGGAGTCCAGGAAGGCCTTGAGCTTGGGCCGGGCGCTGAGGCGGGCCACGTAGGCTGAGAGCAGGGGGAACGCGTCCAGGCAGCCGGGGGCCAGGGCCTGGTGAATCAGCAGCAAGTCCAGCAGGTTGTAGTCGGCGAAGGAGATCTGTAGGCAGGGGTGGGGGACTCAGGGGGAGCACAGCGAGCCTGGCCCTCAGGGGAGGTGGGGAGCGGGGGCACAGCGAGCCTGAGGCTGAGCCACTTCTGCCCACCAGATGGCCCATGTGGGCAGCGCCCAGGGGCTGGACAGGGCCACACCTCACCTGGTCGCCCACGATGAAAGCCTGGCCCCCCTGGTTCTGGGAGAGGAGGGTCTCAAAGGGCTTGAGGTGTCCTGGCAGCGCCTTCACATAGTCCGCTTTGCCAGCCTCCTGCCAGAAGACGCCAGGGCTCTTCACCCTCCTGAGGGTCACATGCCACCAGCTCCCCACAGGCCTCTCCCCCTTCTAGTGAGTCTCCACCCACCCAGCGCCCCACCCCAGCCGGAGCCCACGCCTGACTGGCTCGCTCAGATTCTTCTCTGCTCCACCCCTCTATGAGCAGACCCCCCCACGGCCCAGACACCCCTGCCGGTGTCCGGGCCAGCGGGTTCCAGCCCCGAACCCGCAGCCCCGGCTCCATCTCCCGACACGCCTCACCCTGCCTCCACTGAGTGGGCCCCAAAGGCGCTCCCCGTGCCCCTGT